TAGTATTCCAGAGTAAGGCACATTCAGAGGTGTTTTTAGTGAAAGATAGTATTCCAGAGTAAGGCACATTCAGAGGTGTTTTTAGTGAAAGACTCATGTATTGACACAAGCAGACCAATGTCTCCCTGTTTGAGCTGATTCAGCTATGAATCAAGTATATGTGGCTATTGAGTTTAGTGATCTTTCATTATATCTCACGTTTGTGATGAGAGTTAAAATTAAATAGAGTACCTCAGAGTATATGGTTGGTAACACTGAGCTTCATTTACAGCCCCTGACTGATCCAGGCTTGCTGGCACAGCGCCCAGCGCCTGTCGGTCGCTTGCTAAAGCCTCAGCTGTCTGCTAGGCACTGTGCTGGGTAATAAGACGGCATTCCTGCCCTCCAGAAACTTAGCTACAGACTTGCAGAGGAAAATATTGGAGATTTAAAAACATAACTACACACGCTCACAGAGAGCTTGATATGGGCTGGTGGACAGGAATCTGTTAAAGGAGTGGCAGGAACAAGGCTGGAAGTATTCATCTTATGGCTAAATTCAGGCCAAATTTAAAAATGCCTTACAATTTCAACTCAAAAAGGCATTTGGCAGAAACAGTAGTATTTTTTGGCAAAGAAATTAGGATATACGAGAATGTATTAAGGATACTTTGCCTGGCAAAAGCATTTTGTTAAAGAACATATATGGTCCCTGCTTTCAGGAAGTGAGATCCTGGAATTTTAGAAGCACACGCTAACATGCTGAGGATTGCCTCAGAAGGGGCTCCACTGTGTCTGTACCTCTTCCACTACAGTTAATACGTGAATATGTCATTACTCTAGAGGATGTCATTTAACTGCTTGATTTTATTTCTGTTTGTTACTTTATACAATGGCATGATAATATTTCCCCTTGGAACTAGTGTATCACTCAGTGCTCTCCAGAGAGACAGAACCAGTAGACTATATATATGGATGTTTGTGTGTGTGTGTGTGTGTGTGTGTGTGTGTGTGTGTGTGTGTGGGTTGGTTGGGGAGAGATTTATTTATTTTAAAGAATTGGCTCATGAAATTGTGGAGACTGGCACATCTGAAATTTGTAAGGCAGGCCAGCAGGCTGGAAATTCGGGCAAGATTTCTGTGTTACAGTCTGAGGCAGGATTCCTTCAGCTGATTGGATGAGGCCTACCAGTATGACCAAGGGTAATCTTTACTTCAGGTCAGCTGATTGTAAATGTTAATCACATCTACAGAATACCTTCACAGCAACATCCCGACTAGTGTTTAGCACCACAGCTGGGCACTGTGGCCTAAGCCAGGTGGACACATAAAATTGACCATCACTTAGCCTGAGGGCTTATCAGTCAGCTTTTGCTAAACAAGTAAAATAAGTCAAAGCAAATCATTTAATTTTAGTCATTATTGCATTTTATTTTTTACTTCTTTAAAAGTTTTTATATATTTATTTATTGGAGAGAGAGAGAGAGCTCGAGCAGGGGGAGGCACAGAGGGAGAAGCAGACTCCCCGATGAGCAGGGAGCCTGATGCAGGGCTCAATCCCAGGACCCCGAGATCCTGACCTAAGCCGAAGGCAGGTGCTTAAACGACTGAGCCACTCAGGCGCCCCAGTCATTATTGCATTTTTAAAAATCTGTCATCCAGGTGAGAGTTGAGTACATATTACTGTTACTGAAGGAAGACGAGAGCACCAATCTAAAAAGGTAGTAGTTTCCCTCTCAGCAGTATAGTGCATCTTAACCAAAGGTGTCATACCTAAGTGAGTCCAGAATAGTAGAGAGGAAAGAAATCTAAGAAGGGATGACGTGCTTCTCGCAAATTGTCTGGGGCTTGTTCTGTGATGCAGAGGTGGTGTCTTCTTTGGAACTTAAGGGCACAGAGCCTAATCATGGGGAATCTTCATGTCCGTTCATTCAGCTGCAGAGGACTTCGAGTTAATGACGAGGTTTGGGGCAGTGTCCTTGCGTGGTTGCAGTGTCAGCAGAACTGATTTCAGTTGGTTGTAATTGAAGATAACTCAGAACTTGCCATCTTTTTTTTTTTTGTTTAATGTTTAAAAACATTAATTTTGTTTCCCAGGGGGAAAATGAAATCCTTTGTATTAAAAATGTTTTTAAATAGCACCTGTAGGTTTTTGGAGAGAAGTGTGAAAGAGAGTGTGGGGGATGATGGGGAGAATCACGGGGGGTGAGTCTGGCTCAGAGAAGCTGGCTCCTTGTGGTTCCCAGGAGAGAGAAACGCCTCAGCCCGGTCAGGGAGGGTAGTCTCTTCTGACAACGGTGCACTGCAGTATGTATATCGCCTTCAAAGGAAGTGTTGAGTTTGGTGCCTCACCATATAATCAATTAAGGAAACCTGACTATAATCAGAGGTTGAAGAGCAGTACTTACAGCCCATTTCAAGTCTTCTAAGGCACTTACATAAGTTATTTAAAGTTAGAAAGCTGTCGAATTATTTTTATTAAATGTTGATTTGAAAGGAAATAATTATCCAGGGATGTCCATTTTAAATGAAAATTAAATCATAACTTTACACTTGCACCTCTTAAGGAGAGCCATTTCTCTCTGGTGTATTCTTGAAAAGTGTAGGTTTTATGACTGAGAAATCTAGGTAAGTGAGTCCTGCTACAGAAATAGAAAGTTCTTCCACGATGTGAGTTTAAATAGCCACTTTCTTTTAAATTCACTGACAGCTCCCCTTTCATTTTGAAGCCTAGACATAAACATGATCCCTCTTTCACATTTATTTTTATTGTCACTATAACCTGTCAGTTCTTTGACTTCACTTTTTCTGTTCCTGTTTGTTACTGTTAGACATACCATTAGCACTTGATGTTTGGTAGAGTCTCTCGAACTCTTCTCAGGACATGGCTCTGCAGTGGGCGGGTGGAGTGCTGCTAATCCTGGCATGTTCCAGGAGCATCTGGGAGGTTGTTTGCCTCAGGCCACCATCAGTAAAACACCTGGACTTGTGGAAGGTTAGGAGAGGCTGATTCTTCATTAGAAGTTTATCTTCTTTATCAAAGACTTTTTTCTTCTTTTTTAAATAAGTTTCTTCTTGCTAACCTGTGTTAGGGTTAGAACGGTGATTCTCAACCAGGAATGATTTTGCTCCCCAGGAGACATTTGGCCATGGTCTGGAGTCATTTGGGTGCTTGCCACGGGGGGAGGGGCCGCTAACTGACTCCTAGCAACCAGAGGCCAGAGATGCTGGGAAACAGGACAGCCCCCATGTCAAGAATTATCTGGGCCAAAATGTTGATAACGATGTTGGGAAGCCCTGGGTTAGAAGAATTAAAACAAGCCAGATCCTTAACTAAGGCAGAGGAAATTGGCTTAAGTTGTATATCATTTTATTCCCAGCTGGAAAGAATTCTAATGATCTTCTAATGGAGTTTTTATTTTTAAAACTAAAGCTTACAGGGAGGCCTGATCTATGAAACAGATAAAGGTGGTGCTTCTCAGTCGGTAGGCAGTGGGTGTGGCAGGTCGGGATTGCCCGTGCACAGGGGACTCGGAAGAACCTTCAGGACCTTAAGGAACAGAACCTGAAAAACACTGATCTAGTCCAAGCTCCTTATTTTATAGATGAAGGGTTTTAGGGTCCCGGGAAGTAAAATAACATGGCTGAGATCTCTTAGTAAGACCCTGGCCAGGAGTCCTGTTCTAGGACTGACCCCTGGTCCTCCATTCTTTTTACTCGGAAGTAAGAGCACAGGGGGGAAAGAGGACTTATCCCCTTGGCTTTGCAGCATTGTACTTCACAGGATTCCAAGGGGCCAAGCTATATCTAAGCATTTGATACAAACTCGGGGGGGTGGGGGTTGGTATCTTTTCAGCGCTAGTTTTTCTGGTAGCTGCCTAATCTGGCCTTTATTGTTGTTGACATTGATTTTCTACCTTAGCCTCATAGGCGATAGGAGTTTAGCAGTCTGGTCATTTTACAGACTCGGTCTAGAGAGGTGACGTTGACTTAACTGTCTCCTGGCAAATTCACGGCTAGCAGAATTGACTAGAATCAAGACCCCAGCAGACCTAGGACAGTCCCCCTCCTGCCACACCATGGCGCCACGCCTCCACCTTCGAATGCCACCAGCCACGTCTACATATGGGAAAGATGCTCAAGGTCCCTCTTGCAAAAGTGCACCCAGTTTTCTGTGTGTGAGTTTTAAAGAGATCTCCAAAGCCTTGTGAGGACTTACAAGATAAAGTTCAAGAATCATTTCTTGAGGATAGTTTTCTTTAACTACTGTCCCCCGTTGACCCCATGATATTTTCCTTTGCTCTTTTCCACTTTCCTTCTCCACCTTAAATCTCTGGTGGAGTTGTTCTGTGTGCTAATTCAAAGAAAAGCAATAAGGAAAGTACCACAATTTTACCTCACATTTGTTTAGAGCTTGATACTTTTAATATACAATTTTAAAATTTCTGTTGAGGTGAAACATACATACAATAAAGGCACAGATGTGAAATGTGCAACCTGATAAAGTCTTACATGTTCACACCTCTGGGCACCAGCACCCAGATCTAAAGAACATTTACATCAGTCCAGAAGCCTCCCTATGCCCTTCCCTGTCAGATACCCCTGACCCCTGAGGTTTCTGCTCTTCTGACTCCGGTCACTGGACAGTACTTTTGCCTGTCCTTAACCTTTTGATTCATCCATGATGTTAAGAGTTGTTCTTTCTTTAGTACAGCTATGTAGTGCTCCCTTTTATGGTTATACCACAGTGTATTTATCCATTCTCCTGACAATGGGCATTTGACTGTTTCCACACTTTAGCAATTACGAATAAAAATGCCGTGGATACTCTTTTTTTTTTTTTAAGATTTATTTATCTGTTTTAGAGGAAGAAAGAGAGCAGGAGGGAGGGGCAGAGGGGGAGAGAGAGAGAATCTCAAGCAGACTCCCTGCTGAGTGCAGAGCCTGACACAGGCCTCAGTCCCATGACCCTGAGATCATGACCTGAGCTGAAATCAAGAGTCAGATACCTAACCAACTTAGTCACCCAGGTGCCCCTAAAAATGCTGTGGATATTCTTGTACATATCACTTGGTGGACATGTATTGGGTATTTTTGTAGGAATTGGAACATACAACCTACAATATGACAAAGCAAGTTTGCATGCCCTATTTCATGTGAGACTCGCCACAACCCCATGAAATAGGGTGAGTAGTATTAGTAATCTCATTTTGTTAATTATAGAAAGGTCAAGCAGCTTGCCCAGGGTTACTGAGGAACTAATTACAGAGCTAAGGTTAGGGTTCTGTTCTCCCACATTAGGTTGTAGGATTTCTCTGCTGTGCGATACTGCCTTTATAGCATGAAATAAGATACAGGGGGCATTGAATTCAGATGTATGTCCTTTTAGACAAAATACATGCAAACAGACTTGTTCTTCCAGATGCTTTTATACATCTGAATTATGGGTGAGTCTTTGGAATCACCTGATGGTGTTGGAGTCAGCCCAGTGGAAGCCATGTGATTTTAATTTGAGGATTGGTAAGGGTCTGAGCACAAGCTGATTGTTAGTTTTTAGTCTTCTGGAGGGATTAGACTGGAAGTTTCTATACAGGCGTTATTGACTCCATTTCTTTGCTTGTGGCCAGGATTGTATTTCAGTGTGCTTGCAAAGTAATAGTTTATTCATTTCGTAAAGCTCTCCAAGGAAGGACACTCTTTCTTGGTAACCCCAAGTAAATCCTGGTGGTTTGAGGAAGGAGTGTGTCACACGGTGTTCTTCCTGTTTGTTCTCGACTTCTGAGCATTGCAAAGGGGAAAGAACACAAGAAAAGATGAGAGTCGGCGCCTGCCCCTTCCTGTTGGGTTAAGAGAATCTGTTGCTTTCATTGAGAAAGAAGGCCAATCATTGAATTCTCTGCTCTATCTCTAGCTTCCTGTCACTCTGCACAGCCTGCAAATTACTTGCAGTTAAAAACTCTGATGAAGAGGAGTGATATGTGTAAGGGATCAGCCTTGCCTGGGGCCTTGGGGAGGTAATGGATGGCAGCCCAGCTCGTAGCCATCACTGCTTACGCACAAGTATGCAGCAGATCTGTCAGGAAAATCACTTGCATGAGTTTAGCACTTGATGGAAGTGCAAGTTTGCTTGCTGCTGCTCCTGTCTTCCTAGCAACTCAGCCTGGTCGCCAGGGTGTGCCGTTTCTGCTTAATTGTATGTGGTATGGCCACACTGTGCCTACAGCCCTGCCCTCATTGATCTGGTAATCATGCTGTGGAAGGGCTGTGCGGCTGAGAGGGGATGGAGTTGGGGGCTCATAAGAGGCTGGGTGCCAGGAAACGGTAGGGGTTTTCTAGATTCGGAAGCGCCTACCTCGAATCCTCTTACCAAGGGTGATAAAGGGTGTGATGGCCGGCAGAACTGCTGAGCCCAGGGAGTCTGTCAGTCTTTGGAGGGTGCTCGTCATTTGTGGCCCACAGAGGCTTATGGCAAGACACAGCTCTACTTTTAATTCTCTTCACCCAAACTGGGTAAGTCTTATTTTTTAGCCAAGCGCATTTCTAGTATAGGGAAAATCATGCAGGTTCATGGAATGAGGAGAAGACCAAAGTAAAAACCACTTTTAGTAATAATTAGAATCATAATCTAGTGTATCCTAGATATCTTGGAGTCTAGGCTAGAGCAGAGTTTAATCTTTAGACATACACCACATGCAAATACATGTGTGAATAATTTATACTTGGCCCTCAGATATCTTTATTAATAATCAGCCAAAGTAAATAAATAGAATTAATGATACAGAAGCTCCATTACAGTTCTGTTGCAGACTATAACCCCCCCCCCGCTAGCATTTCCTGTCTCTCATACCATTGATTCCCAGTGTTGGGCATGGTCCAGTTTAAGGTCAACAAGGGGCTATGGAGAGATCCATAAATGTCCATAGAAGAACATAAATTCCTTACTCTCTCAGTCAAAACTGAGGTTAATGAATGGTGAGGTGGTCTTGACTGAGGGAAAACAAAGTCCAGGAGAGACGTTGAGTCAAAAGCAAACTGTCATGGCCACGTCCACTGTTCCAGTTCTGCAGATGCAGCCTCCACTGTCGCCTCTTATTAACTTGTGTGCGTGAGTTTCTGGACATGAGGCATGGAAGGACCTGCAGCCCTGGCTTCCTGAGACATGCTGCACACAGCCTGATGCTTTGAGAGTGAATTTAGTTCATGGTTTGTCAAAGAGATATATTTTAACCTATTTGTAAATCTGAGGTTTCAGAGGCCTCAATGGTTTCCATTGTACCATAATAGGAATGTATAGGGAAAGCAGTTCTTGTTTTCATGTTGAGATAGTGAGAAAAGTACACCTTTCCATCCTGGGTGGAGGCAGCCGTGGGAGAGCAGAAGGGGGCTGGGAGGCTCGCTCAGCATGTGCGTGCTCTGCGCACACGGACCCTGAGGAATGCTGACGGAGAGAGGGATGCCCCACCTTCCAGCTTCCCCTTTAAAAACATTCCTCCAGGTTTGGCTCTGCTGCCATTTCAAGTAGTTATGATACCAGAAGATGGATCACCTTCGCGTGTTAGATAAGTGGTGGACAAAACCTAACTCTTAGATGCAGTTACCGTGAGCCTTGAGGGAAGGAGTCCCCACTGCTATTTCACAGAGGGACAGGATGGAGAGCAGGAGTCTTCACATGGTTTTCAAGGGCACCCAGTACCCTTTTAAAATCTGAATTTCATCCCTAGATCCTTGCAGACTTCACTTCAAGGCCCTTGCTTTTCTGCGCATCTGCCTTTTAGAAGCTCTAGGTCTAGAGTACTAATGCTGAGCAGAATCATGCACTAGAAGCTTTCTCATCCACCTTCCTTTTTCAGACATTTCCTAACACTGTTGAAGGATTTCCAGAAAAGGAATTGCCCAGCCTCCCAAGCTCACCCATTTTTGTGTTTCACATCATTTACAGGAAGTCTTCCTTTTGTCCTCTGCAGAGTTAAGGAATGAAATTTTAATTGTTGAGTTCAAATACTTGATTCTTATGTTCCTTTCAGGAGAGAAGACATATTGGTTTGGGGAGTCTGGTTCTTTTCTTAACCCTAATGAGCGCACATATCCCCTGTGGAAGCAGAAATGGGAATATCAGTTGACCTCTGCACCTGACATGGGCCCATCCATGGGGTCACTGCCTTGGCGAGCCATGTCGTTTCCTCCCTCTTTGTGAACTTTATCTCGGTTACTAGTGAATGTGGGCTCTTCAACTTCAAAATCAGTCCTCTTGCCTGGGGCCAGAGGAAGGAGTGTGCATCCAGATGATGTTTCTTTGAGGCCGTTGCAGTGAGACTTTGCGAAGCAAGCCTTCTTAGATCTGCCTGTGGCGCTGCTAGCAGACCGTGCCTTCCATCCAAAGAGGCAAAAATGTCATTGTGGTGTCCCTGACTTTCTGTTCACAGTTTCTGGCCTCTAAAGAAAATCCAAATGAAGACGCAGCAGCCATATTTGCAGAAGGTGGTGACGTGGATGATTTAGTAAGTGCTTTTAATATATACCAGGTGTTCTCCGGATTGAAACCGCCGAGCTGTAAACACAGCCACAACGCTGCTGATCGTAGACTTGTTTCTTATTTGAGTTTTAATTGCTGATATGCCAGAAGCTCCCTCCACTATTATTTATTGCCATTATAAATTTAATCAGATACGTTATTTCATAATGGAAATTCCTGTGCTCTCAGGTTTCAGTTATATTGTTCATTCAGTTTAATCGTCTCCTGTGAAGGACTGAAAAGAGCTGGCGAGGCCATTCCTTTAGTAGCAAAATGTCATAATTTACTGAAATTGCTCTCAACCCAAATAGGCAATACAACATGCAATTTGTGTGGGTTGACAAATAAAAACAGCCTTTCAGAAGCCTAATTCTTGAATGTTCTCGATTAACTTAATGTAAACAAAATCGGCTGATAGGCATTTGGGTGTTTTTGGACCTCCTCATACCACGTCTGGATGCTTGGGAGGCGTGGTGTAAGTTTGACTTTGTATCCCTCTTTCATGTGTGGAGACTTCCTGCCTAGAAGCCGCACGTGACAGCTGATTCCAGTAAACACTTTCAGTCTTTTTGTGGAGTTTTTAATGATGTAATGAGACACTTGGTATTTAACACCTCCAATAGTTAGCAGTGAGTCGGTGCCCAAGTCCAGCTATACCAGAAGTGAAGAGAGCCATGTCGTTAAACTGGCTCCCACCACAGAAACAGTGGTCTGGAGTTGGTTCCTTTCTAAAAATGTCCTTCTTCTTCACAGCTGGACTTGATCTAGGTCGTGGCTGTGTGGGGAATCGAGAGTTGCCACCGCTGTCATGCTGAGACTTCTATCCAGAGGAAGCCATTCGAGGGGAACGGGAAGCTTTGGAGATGGTCCCCGTAGGTTATGTGGAAGTGAATCTCCTAATTTTCTGGAATGAGTATATACATGTGGAAGGGATAATTTCGATCCCATACATGTTTATAAAGAATCCCTGTTATTTTCTCATTGGTGTATATTTCTTTTGTGGTCTTTATTGATCTCAGTATATTATGCATGTGCTTTGAAGTTTCTGCAAAACGGATTTCCTCTTGCCCTGGTGTGTTGGTGAGGATTGTGGCCCTCATGAAGCTGTCTTGTGCAGAACTATGGCATGTCATTGGTGAGTTTTTCAGTCCTCCCCCAGAGGTGGAGTTCTCTGTCGGGCCCTCCAACCGCAAGCCCAACTATGCTGATCAAACGGTGGCATTAGTTTCTTACCAGCAGAAAGGTGGGTTTGGGAAATCATAGCTAAGGGCTGACTCTTTGTCTTTTTACTTAAGCCTTTTAGTCCCCACTTTAGGTCAGCTGTGTGTATAGGTGGTTTTCCTTAAGCAGGGTGGGAGGGGAGCACCGCTTCCCTGCGTACTGAGCAGTGCTGGTGCGCTCATGAAGACAGGATGCCCTTTTGGCCCAGCCTCTGACGTATCAGCGAACCCTAAACAGAAAACAAAACAAAATGGAGAGATTCACCCCCAAGAGTTAGGATTTTATCATTTCATTACTGCCTACTTAGCAGTCTCACAGAGCGAAAGTGTGATTGTGTTCAAGCACTTCTTCCTTAATTTTCCATTCTTTTCCATTTCTAACTTAGTCTCCTTTCCTCTCTGTCTGGGTGAGGTTTCCTTTCTTAAAATAAGAAAATAGCAAAACCCTTTTTTTTTCCCAGACCTCATTCTTTCCCCGAGTTCTAACTCCCTCCTTGGTGTCCCCAACTCTGTGGTGCCCGGTCCCCCATATCCTCCGCACCCCCGTAAACAGTCACTGCTTCCCTTCATTTTGCAAATGACTCTCTCTTACTGTGGATTGCCACTCATTAATTGTCTGCAAAAGAATTTTCAGTGCTATGCTGGGAATTAGAGACCCTCTATGCATTGCTTAAAAACGGCCCTCCACAACAGAACATTGTTCAGTCAGCTGATTTGAGAGAAGAGTGGCTTACTGTGGGCCTCTAGGACGTCCCTCTCAATACTGTGCACACCTTAGTCAATCTTTTTTTTTTTTTTTTTAATATTTATTTGACAGCACAAGCAGAGGGGAGCGGCAAAGGGAGAGGGAGAAGCAGGCTCCCCGCTGAGCAAGGAGCCCGATGCGGGGCTCGATCCCAGGATCTTGGGATCATGACCTGAGCTGAAGGCAGCCTGACTGAGCCACCCAGGCACCCCCACCTTAGTCAGTCTTGATACCCAGGTGCCCATTTGAAGCAACCCCCATGAAGGATGCCATCTGTATCTTACTGTCTAGTTGGATGGTTGGAGCCCAGGGGATGTTTGTGACTTGGACAGAATTGAACCATTTCATATCAAGAGGGAAAGCTTTGTACTTTAAATTCTACATTATGCTCATCAGATCATCCTGGCAGTATGAATGCGTTCAGTGGGCATGGCCTGATAAGATCACATGCCTCGTCTTTGGCAGTTTGCAAAGTTCTCTCTCAGAGACAGTTCTTCTGTCAAACCAGGAAAAGTTTGAATCAAGTTAGTCCTTTAGATCTTATACTTTCTGATTTGTGTTGTGCATAGTGGGATTATTTGTGCTTCTCTAACCCCACTTTAACCTAAAGTGTCTGAATACTGAAGAAAGAAATGAGTTCAACACGCTAGGGAGAGAAAGGACTGAATAAGCCACGCAGTTTCTGAATCCATGTCCCGTAGGCACAGTATACAGGCTATGCGGACTCGGTCAGAGCATACTCTTGTGCATAAGGCATGCATGATGTTTTTGATGAACACACCAAGGTCCCATTTCCCTGAAATGAGTTTTGCAAATCTGTAGAACTCCCAGGAGTTCTGCCAACTGTGACCTGGGAGAGCAGTGAGCAGTAATACATGATCATCCGCCGGCCGTGGCTGGGCCTCGGAAGCCTGTTAGTCCCGCAGATGATAGGTTTGTATGGGAGTCGGAAGTCATGGACTATCCTCCCTCTCACCTTTGGTCTTGTGTGCCACTAACATGTATGACTTCTAGAGGAAGTGGAGATAAAGGAGGGGACTCCCCACTGCCCCTCAGTCACAACCCCACTGCCCCCGCAAGGTTACGTGCTGCCCCCCTGTTGAGAACCACTTTTAAATGTTAGTGTTTGATTCTTTGCCAATTAATTTACATATAAAATTAGAATCTTGGAAAATTGTTTAGAAAACCACATTGAGAATAGGCAGTTTTTTTACATAGGCCCTGATGGTTTTGAAAATAAATGCACACATACATATTTCTGGTTGAAATATGTATGGTGGTGATGACTGTCTTTGCAGATGATTTGATTCTAGCAACAGATTATCTGTTTGGTGTACTGTCTCCCCTTGGCCCCTTTGCTCCCAGTGTTCTAGGTTCAGAGCACAAACTGGTAGCTCATTCAGAGTAGCTGCCCGGAGGGGACACAGCTATGGGTAGGGAAGGACACTAGTCTAGCCCAGATCCTGAAATCGGTTCTGCCTCTGCTGTGTGGCCTTTGTCAATGTGCCCAACCTATTACCTACCTTCCAGGTTTGTTAAGGAAGAACATGCCTATGAGCGTACTTTTGTAAACTGCAAAATGCTTTATACAAATAAAGCCTTATGGTATTATGAAAACCCAAAATAGGGGGTATGGGCAGAACTTTTGAGTAGGTACGCCTTCCTGTCTTTAGTTCTGTCTTAGTCCTTTTAGAACCGTGAATATACCAGTGCTAAGTTTCATGATTATTTATTGCTATTGGACTTAGGCTTTCTTTCTAGTTATTACATGAAAGTCACAGTCTCTATGTGATCAAGGTAGGGGGTTAGGACCCGGGGTAGGTGTTGATGGTTTTGATAAGGTGACCATGTGTCCCAGTTTACTTGGGTATTATTGTCCTGGTATGATTAATAATGCCCTCTTTCACTCTCAAAAGTGGCCTCCTAATAGGGATTATAGATTATATTGTCCCCCCTAGATTTTGACCATATTAAGTTAGTATCAAAACCAGGGCCCAAGGAATGGCCATATCCTCCTGCCTTGCCAAACACTCCTTTCCTGTTAATGCCCTGCTGGAATCCAGTACAAGGAGCAGACAGCAAAGTGGAAACAAGCACAGGAGAACAGCTGGGGGCTTCGGTTTATAGTCTGCTTCCTACATCCAAGTCTTGCCCCCAGCTGGCTGCCAAGCCTGGGACAGAGCAAGAACATTGTGTGGGGCCTACTCCGAAAGAGTAGGCCTCGGCTTTCTTGTCTGGCTGGCAACATGGAGTAGAGGTAGAAATGCCTATGGAGGTTAGTGTACATATAACCTATTAGGGATTTAATGACCCCTAATAAACACGACCCAGTCGCCAGTCACATTTGTAAGTCGCCCTCCCTCTAGCGGGAGAGTACCAGGAGGGTGGTGGGGACAGGGGTTTCCTCCAGCCTACACTGACACCTCCATGTAGGTCAGTCCATCCGATCAGCAGTTATAATCCCTGTTTAGGTATTATTGGCTTCCTTTGGTCACCTTGGAAGGGAAGGAAACAACTCTTTTCTTCCCATCTGAACCTAACTCTGGACTCGATTTCCTTCTGTTCTTTAGAGAGACATATTGCCCTAGTGCTTCGATAGTGCTGGATGTTCGATGCTCCTGGGTTTGTTAAATCCTAATGTCAGTAACACTTGACAGCTCTGTGGCCTTAGCAAGTCCCTTAACCTCTGTAAGCAACAGAATAATGGAGTCACTTGTGTTTCGTCTGTGGGTAGGATGGCTTGGGAGAAGACAGGACCTTCTCAGTCGGGGCGGGGGGTTCATATCTATGACTTTGCAGGGGCTGCTTGAGTAATGGGAATGGAACAGGTGTTGCCTAGGGTAGAGAAGAGGCAACCAAGACGCATGCCTTATTCCCAGCCTTACGGTTTACATTTCCCAGGCCACCTGCTTTTGTTCTGCAGCATCATAGGTGGGTAAGGGCTCTGACAAGGCCTGGAGGATGTGTCTTGTATTATGTCTTAGCTTGGGTGAGTCTCTGGTTTTCTCTCTGCCCTCTTACCATTTCAGCATGCTGGGAATGATGGGAGCCCTTGCAGGGCTAGTGTGAGGATCCATGAGCACACAGTGGGACAGCAGGGTGGGGAGACACCTGTAGGAGGAAGATGACACCGTGGGGGAAGCTTGAGGAACCACAGATATGGCAGGGGTCGTGTTCTGGCTAATTGCCACCCTTTCTTTTGATGAACGTTATGTTATAAAGGAGGGGGGAGCTTTAGAGGGAGAGGTGGGTAAAGAGAAAGAAGATAGGCCAGCTGGCAGGGAAGGGGGGGACTTCAGGGATGAAGGAAGCACAGATGTGCTTTGTATTTTATTCTTAGTTCTGTCCTGTGGGGTGTGAGTGAATCTTCCATCTCCCCGCTCCATTCAGTGAAATATTCACTCCTCACTAATGTGTTTGGAGTTGGTTATTTCAGGGGTTGCACATGTCCTGTGAACTCTGACCTGCTTCAGGAAAGGCAGGGGTGAAACAGGCTGACCGTGGGGGGTCCAGTCATCTCTGGATGACACAGATTCCTTAAGGTTTAAACCTGAAATCAGTCGCATGTGGGTGATTGTGAACCTGGCTCCTCCTCAGGTAATAGTACAGCCTCCATGCCTTGATTCTATGGCCAGAATCAAATATCTGTAACTCCCCTTTCAGAAGTGAGAACACAAATGAACTCTGTTCTTAAAAGTAATTGTACATAACAGCTTGGCACGGAAAGCACAGAAGGGTAGCGTGTGTGACACATTTGTTGTTGCTCATAGTTTAAAGTTGCATTCCAAGCTGTTGGGTGTGAATTTATTTAACTGGGGGAAATAGGGGCAAGATCCTACACCTCATCAAAGATGCATACACATATTCCATGTGGCCACGTGGCTTTTGTGTATTTCACAGGATGCTGTGTCTGTTCTAGTGCGAAGACTCTCTTTATGCCCTGTGGAGGGATCTCCAGGGATTCTGGAACCAGGAAGGAGATTCCTTCCCTTCTCTGCTGGTCTGCCTGCTTGGAT